ATAGTTCACACTCGTTAGAAAAGAAGGGAGTATATATAGAAAGTGACGATAATAATGAATAGAAACAAAACTATTCTTTCTGCGCTTTAGTTATAATCTGCTTGAGCACTTAATAATTTAATCACAAAGTAAAATATTCGATGATATTTTATGAATTCAATATAATTCATTGTCAACAGCTTCTATATTTGGCATCATTTCTAGTTATCAGTATTAATTGATTGTTTACTGTTTCTATAAACAAGGCAAAACTTGTAGGTATTGGTATTTTGCCTTGAAAAAGTATTCCGAGTGAATTTATTACACATAATTGAAAACGAACAAGCACGTTAACTCAGAGTATTTTCTCAAAGCAAATTTTCAAAAATCAATAAATTCTAAAATTGAACCAGTTTCCGTAGGACTTTAATGGTTTAGTATATTCATTAAGATCAAGTACTCTATCGTTATACCAAGTAAATCGTCTAATTTTAATTTTAACAAACGTCAAAAAAACTACCTATTTTCTCAAACTTTGATGAATTTTCAAAATTAAACTACTTGTCGTAAGGCCGTAATATTTCATACTCTATAAACCATGATATATATATATATATATATATATATATATATATATATATATATAGCCAAAAAAAGTAGATTTAAACCTAAAACTAATCAGTATCATTCCCAACTAATATCTTTCGAACAGTTTTTGATTTTTTTAAATCGATTCAGTAGTAAAAATAAATGTGGACGAAAAACTTAACACTTTTTCCAAATTACAAAGGAACGGCTCGGCAGATCGTTGCACAAAACTGACAAACGATAGTATTCATTGAGATACATCAAATTTCTGAAATCGGTTCAGGCGTTTTTGACAAAACGTCGATCAAAGGTCTAATTTTGTCAAATGCCAAAAAATGATACTAGTTTTTGCAAACTTAGACGAATTTGCAAAAATAAAATGAGTTGTCGTTGGGCCGTAATATTTTAATATGATCTATAAGACTATGGTATCTACCGTCAAAAAAAAATCATAAAAATCGTCGAAAAATTTTTCCTAACACTTTATTACAAGAAAACGGCCCGGCCGATCTTTGCCAGAAACTAATCAGCACGATTCCCAACCATTCTCTTTCGAACGGTTTTTGAATTTTTGAAATCGATTCAGAATTGCGGGCTAAAACGTGGACGAAAATTGTTTCACGTTTCTGCGATTTACCAAGAAACAGTTCTAGATCGATCGTAGCGCAAAACTGACAAACTCTTCTCATCGAGATACATCGAATGGTTTTTAAAATTTTGTAAACGGTCCAGGCGTTTTTGAGAAAACGTCGATTTATGGTAAAAAATCTGTTTACACACACATACTTTTTCCAAATTTGGTCTCATTCGATTCAGAATGGCTTGAAACGTCGAGAAAACATAAAGTTACCGAATCGAATTTTTTGATGAAAACAAACTTTTCCTTCGGGAAGTTAATAATGTTGTGGGAACAATGGGACAACTTTCAACAAAAAATAAGTTCCGATGATATTTCACTGTTGTTACTCAAATGTCAAAGCATGCAATGCGATGCGATGATCATTAAATTGAAGTATTACGAAGTGGTAATAAATAAATTTGAATAAATAATGAACGAATTAATATTTAGTCATTACTGTGTTACTGTATATAAGTATATATACAGTAACATTACGAGCATTAAAAAAATTATTCATTAGCTATTATTAATTTCTCTAATGAAGATTAAAGTCTTTTAAATGCTATTCACAATGAGATACCATTATTTCTTGGCGGAGATTTCAATATCAAGTTATACTTGGAAAAATCTCTAACATTGATTGATTTTTTAGACGATAAACTAAATGCAACTGAATAATTGTTTATTTTAATCAACTGCGAGATATGACATATGACAGTACAATTTAGACAATTTGCTGACTAAGTTTGTCTCATCTTCAGTTATTTCAAATCAACCAAGTTATCATATTTGAATCAATATATACATTTTATATAACTTAGATTAATTTAATAACTAAATTACGCAAGTTTACAGTTATGAGATACTTATTTCTGACTTCGGTCGAAAATGAAACTCTGGTTTAAAAACAGGTTCGATCTTAACTAAGGTTAATCTAAAATCTTAAAGGTTTTCAGATGTGTTATCTATAATAATAATATGTGAATAATATTCGAAATATCTATCCGAAAGTGAAAGTATTTTTAAGATATCTCTTACCGTTCCCGAGATATGCGCTCAAAACCATTTTCAAATATTCTCATTTTTCATGTAATTCTCATTTTTCATGTAATCTGTATTTCTCGCAAAGTATTTGAACTAATTTTAGTTTTATTTGAACTAGTTTTCAAAAATTCACATTTTTCAAATGCGTATTCCTTGTAAAGTATTTCATGCGGTGTGTTTTCAAAAATTCACATTTTTCAAATGCGTATTTCTTTTAAAGTATTTAAACTATAGCCGAAATATTTTATCTGATTTCTAAGGCCGCGATATAATTTGAGCACCTCGAATTTAAAAAAAATAAATAATAAAGTATGCGAAGCCCTAGCTGATTTATGAGGTCATGGAATATAAGTACTGTAAAAATTTGAACACTTCGAATTAAAAAAATAACCATAGCCCTAGGATCATTGTCTCGAGAATTCGAAAACATAGGTTTAAATTGAATATTTGCAATTACTTGATAATACTAGTTGTGCATGGCTCGGACTTCTCATACATGAAACTAAATTATTGATTAAAACTTTGCAAAACTTTGAAAAAATTAGATTTTTGAGAAATTTTGAAATTTTTGAAAGTTTTGAACATTTTTTTTAAACAATTGCGCTGCATAACTGATTTGGAGTCGAAAAATCAAAGCGCGTAAGTGCCGTTTGGTCGTCTGATTTGTAAATATTGGTATGGAACCCATATAAATGTTTACAAAATTTGTACTTATTATTATAATGTTTATAAAATATCTGATAGTACGATGTACATATGTCTAATGTTTGTTTTTGACCGCTAAATGGCATTATTTTTTACTTTTTTTTTGATCTCCGGAGCCCTTGACTTTACAAAAATTTTACTAGTTGTTCATTTCGTCAAAACAAGTAACATGTATTTTGAATTATTCAAATCAGATGCTTCATTATCTCGAATTAGCATTTTTGGTTCTTTTTGCCCCGTATCTTCGAAACGGCTAGACCTGCCTATGCCAGTAACTAATCAGCACTTCACCAAATCAGTTGATCGGTGTTTCCGAAATCGTCGACACACAGACGCACACACATACAATACATACATATTTTCTAAGGTATTTCAAAATGTTCGGAAATCTTTGAAACGTAAATATATATAAATATTTTCATTTTCGATTTTTTTGTGATTTAACCCTACTGGAAGTTAAAAACTACAATTACGAATAAAGAAAATGATATATACAACGAGTATGCTTACATGAAACTGCACGTTTTGAATGAAAAAATTGTCTATAACATTAATAATTTCTTCCTTTTTTTTCAATTTTACGAAAATTACCAAAAATTATGAAAACGATTTTTTTTAACGTAATTCTGATTAAAAAATATTGATTCATTTAAAAAAAGATCTTTATTGTTTCTTAAATAGTATTTATTATTAACTTCCCGTAGGGCAAGTTATAGTAATCGCAAAAAAACGAAAATGAAAAATTTTATGTATCTTTACGTTTCAAAACCTTCTGAACATTTTGACAAACCTTAGAAAAAATGGATGTATGTGTGTGTGTGTGTGTGCGTGTATGTATGTATGTTCGGATACAAAATTTCGTCGACGATTTCGGGAACACGGATCAACCGATTTGAATAATTCAAAAAACATTCGATTCGTATTGATAAGGAGACGTGGTGATTAGTTTTTGGCGAAGGCAGGTCTATCCGTTCCGAAAATACGGGGCAAAAAGTGCCGTTTTACACCAACATTTTACTTGCATTGACAAAATGAAGAACTGATCAAATTTTCATGAAGGCAGGTCTAGCGGTTTCGGAGATCTAATGAAAAAAGTAAAAAAAATGCCATCTGGCGGTTAAAAATGATCATTAGACATATGCACATCAAATTATCAGATATTTTATAGAGATTTTAGCAATAAGTATAATTTTTTTTTACATTTCTATGGGTTCCGTACCAATGCTTATGCGTTCGACGGCGGCACGGCATTTTTTCGACTTGCGCGCTTTGACATTTCGTCTCTATGCAGTTCAAGCAATACGATTGCTTTGAAAAAAAGTTTAGAATTTCCAAAACATGTCAAAATGAAGAAAACATTTTTCTTTTCAAAAAAATTTTGTTTTAAAAAAAATTTTTTTTTTTTAAAAAGTAATTTTTTGTCAAATTTATAGTTTCTCAAAGATCTAATTTTTTTGAAGTAAAATTTTTTCAAAAATGTTAATTGTTTTTAAAAAAATAATAATTTTTGGTACGGGAAGTTCCAGTAATTTGCCTTAAGGCACGATGCCTTAATTGCCTTAAGACAGAATTCCACTTACAGCTAGTAAATGAGCCCCCTGTCTCATTTTGGATTAGCGTAACTAAAAGTTATCGTCACGGTTTTGATTTAAAAAACTATGGTCACCTTTATCTCAACACGTTCAAGGACAGTAAAAGTTTCAGCAAGGTACAAAAATTGACAGTCATATTATTTTTTTATTTTTAAATTGGTTATGATATCCTAAATTTGATTAAACCCTATTTATGAGGGGTAGTATATTATGATCTGATAACTATAACTCAGAGGGTAGTCAGATTAAATTTAACAATTGAAATTCATATATAACAATTGTTATATTTTACGTTATATACTATTATATACTATTATATTAATGCTATAGGAATCATGCATTACAATGATAATGAATGTTACAGCATTCACGTCCGTGAAAGTGTTGAAATCAATGGTTGAAAAATAAGATTTGGTCAAACACAAAATTTTGCACATACGTTTACATGTTTATACTTTTGATTTTATTTTCAGGTAATGCGAAAAGTAATTCTGAAAGGCAATCAAGCAAAATACTAGTTGGACCAAGTAGTTCTAATGACAAATCCAAATAATGTTTCAATTAGCGAGAATATCAATCAAAAGCGGATATCAGTAATATTTGAATGAAATCATTTATGCTACTATATAGTCCACACTGAAGATTGTTGTATAATATATATTGGTTATTTGGCTGATTAGATGAAAATAGATATAAGTATATATTATTGTTATAATAATTTTATCTGTAATTAATACTTAGATCTAGTTCTGTGTTTGAGATTGATATAATTTCACCAAGAATTAATTAAATTAATCATTTGCATACTTGACATACTTATTAAGTACAATGTCAAAATCAACTTTGGGAAACTAAAAAAAAGATAAAGACTTGCAAAAATGAAATTTATTAACAAAAAAAATATTATTTTTAATATTTGATATTTGAGTTATTATCCTAAGCAATTGAGTTATATGTCCATGCATTTGCAAAGGTAACTCAGTATATGTAAATTTTTGAATATACATTTTTAATTTTATATTTGGACTTTATTGAAGTTTAGCCTAAAATAATTCTATTGTTGTAACAATTAGTTTAGTTATATAAGTTCAGCATAACATAAATTTAAAATGTTACTTAAGGTTTTATAGTATATAGTTGATTTTTATAATACATAATATTATTGTCTTTAATAACACTGTGTATGGAACATGTAATTTGTAATATTATTATTTGTATAGTAGAGAATGAACTTATATTTTAGAAAATGGTTTTCATTTCAAAATACTTTAGATTACAACAGATTTAACTTTTTTACATAAACCTACCGACAATTTTGAATACCTATTTATACTGAGGCGCGGTCAAATTGAACAATATTTAAAATTTTTATATTTTATGATTGATTTGTTGCTTAACACTAAACCTACTAACGCTGGTGAAATTGACCGTTTCAAACTTTAGGTGCAACTTAGACATTTTTAAATGTTAAAATACCATTATCAAATCATATGACATTTCTTAGAATATAATAATAATATTTCCTTCACATTTTAGATATTTTTCCTATTTTCCGAAAAAAATGTTTTTTGACGTAAATACCGTAAAAATAATATTAATTGAGGAGTTATTTTCATCGGTCAAAATGTAGGGGCAAAATTATACAAAATGTACAAAATGAATCAAACAGTTTTAGAATAAAGTTCTGGAGGGTATGAGAACTATATAGTTATTCTATAGTAAATGGGTTTTCCTATTGGGGAAATGGAAAAGGAGATATTGCTCAATCTAATTTCATTACTCTTATGGTGACTTTGCTACCAGTAGTAGTGACATTGTACGTTTTGCACGAAAAGTTACTAAACAATTGATGATTATCCGATAATCCGAAAATTATTATCATCAGACCCACAACAACCTAAGTTGTGGGTATTAATACAGGAATTAAAATTGAAAGTATCTAATATAAAACTTAATTTAATAAAAAATAGAAATAAAAACCTAGAAATGAAAGATTAAATTTGTACAAGTATATACATATGTATACGAGGTCTGTTCAAAAAGTACCCGGAATTTTCGTTTTTTCAAAAAAATATTTATTTATTCGTCTACATTAATGTGGTCCCCTTCAAAGTAGTCCCCCCCAGATATAATACACTTATGCCAGCGTTTTTTCCAATTTTCGAAGCACCCTTGATATTCACTTTTTGATATGTCCTTGAGCACTCTCGGCGATTTTCTTCAATCGAGGAAAACCGCCGTCCTTTCATGGGTCTCTTCAACTTTGGGAATAGGAAAAAGTCACACGGAGCCATATCTGGTGAATATGGAGGTTGGGGCATGACTACGGTATTGTTTTTGGCCAAAAAATTACGAACAAGCAACGACGAGTGAGGAATTTTGGAATGAATTTTGCTGCCACTCGTTTCATGCCCAAAACATTTGAAAAAATGTTATGACATGAGCCAATTGATATGCCAACTTCATCAGCAACTTCTCTAATTGTGATTCGGCGATCATTCATAACCATTTTTTCCACTTCTTTCACATTTTCATCGTTTGTTGACGTGCTGGGTCGACCGGAGCGTTCGTCATCTTCAACGTCTTCGCGGCCATCTTGGAAACTTGTTTTTTTCATAGCAGACTCACCATAGGCTTTTTGTAACATTTCACACACTTTGTTACACTTTATTTCATTTTTTACGCAAAATTTAATACAAATTCTTTGACTTTTCAATTCTTCCATTGTAAAAATCGCCGAGCTCAGAAAAACACGTCGAACTTAGCGACTACCACAGACAAAGTAAACAGTGAATATAGCTGAAAATTTCATCATACTTTAGGGGCATGTATACCAACACAATAAAAAAAAAATTTGACAATCAGACACTCCAGACCCGCGAAATTTAAAAATTCCGGGTACTTTTTGAACACACCTCGTATATGAGATTCAGTCTTCATGGCAATACATCAATTAAAAACTTGTATGAACTTAACACATTTTTATTGTTTCCATACGTTTCGACACATAGTTTTGTGTCATCTTCAGTGGACTCTAGTTTGAAAGCACGGATAAAAACTATTAATTAAAACTAATTTATAAGAAAGTGATATGGTGAAAAAACATACATGTAATTGTAGTAATCCTAATTATTTCATAATTATAATTGTTTACAATGCACAATAAAAACAGTTCTTGTCACTTTAAATTGGAACAATATATAAATTTTTAGAATGAGTTTTTTTATTGTATTATAAGTTAGGTAGAGGGCACACGAACTGACCGAATTTAAGGTTTGACAACGCGAGGAGGGTACATATAGAAAAAGATAAAAAGATGACAATTGTGAGGGTGGACATAGTTGGTAGAATTGAGATAAAAATTAAAAGGAAAAGAAAAATTAAATAAAATTAAAATTAATATAATTAAGAATTCGAATCAGGATAGGTAATTATTTTAAAGGTATGAACAGTTTTTATAACAGACGATATCGCAGTTCAGAATGATGCAATTTTTAATTCAATTAATATTTATTCCCTGCAATCGCGAATCATTTTATTTATGTTGATAAAGTTAGTAACCCAGTTCAGGATAATATAACTTAAAATTTGGCTATTAATGCCGTTTCTATGGCCAATGTGCCTGAAGGTCCTCTTATTACAGACTTCCACATTTCAAATAGTTTCGGTAAACTTATCGGGAAATCTGCCAAAAATTAGTAAAGGAGACATAAAAGTACTCTTATTTTAGATTTTCACATTTTTAATATAATAGTTCTGGTAAACTTATTGGGAAATCTGTTAAAATTATTAAAGGACATAAATGGGGTAGGAAAACCCAAAAGAATAATTATAGGGTTATTAAAAACCCAAAAGAATAATTTTAGGATGATTAAAATCCCTTATAATATTAAGTTTTGTTAGTAAAGCTAACAAACATGTTATTGATGACTATTAGACTTATATAGAACCTCAGAGGTCAAGTCTGTAAAGTGCAGTAAATTGCACAATTATCCTTCTAAATATTTTATTTTTTACACTCTCGGTGAATATAATGAATAATTTAACTTTTAATTAGAAAAAGTATTAATAAAGAATGATATTATTTCTTATTAATCAACTGCCCGTTCCACCAACTGTTACAGAAAAGAAGGGGAAAATATTAATTAGTGTTAATAATATAATTACAAGCCATCCCCGCAATAAAAAACAAAAAAATAGAAAAATATTTACTTATGTTAGAATTATTAATAAAATATGATTTTCTAATTTCATGGTGTTATAATAAATTTATTGAACGCAAAACGTTTATAAACTTTAGCTACATCTATATAAAGTATATTATGCTTTTTTTTTAGTAAATAAATTTAAGTAAAATTCTTTCCGATTAAATAATTGCATTATTTTACTAAACCCTTAAGTATATTAAGTTAAATTTTCATAATTATACATACTATTTATAATTTCAATTATTGGGGTTAATAGGTTAAAAGATTTATCGTATTTCTAATTGAAAATATGAATAAAGAAATATCATGTAACGATAACAATATGAAATTCTAAACAGTAATAAACCGAATTTACTTATGATTCAATAGCATTTGGATTTTCATGAAGCTTGTGAAAAATTTTGAATACATTATTAATGTTCAATATATTAATATCCAATTGTAATTCCATTAATTTGAATTTTTGCTTTTGATTTATTAAATTCAAGCGTTCAATACAGTTATAACACAAATTATAGAAATAGAAATTTATATTACATTTAAAGTTTTATACACGTACAAACAAAAATGAACTTATAAGCGTTGTATCAATAATTCGCATGAAAATAAAATACAAAAGTTATTTTGTATCAATGATTCCGAAGTTGAATGGCCACTAATATTAATAATAGTCAAGTCTTTCAAAAGTTATGAATCAAAAAGGTCCAGGAATCTGTTGTTAATTATTAACGTTGACGTATGTAGCAATTAGATCAATTAATCAAAATCCAAATTAATTATATCACATAAATTTTCCAAAAGCATCATATTTAAAACAATCTATAACAATATAAATCAAATAGGTCAAAAACCTGCTGTTTTGCTTACCTAATCATTTTTTGCTACATTCATTAACATAACAGACATACGAATTATACAACTTGAGTGTTTAAATTCAGATCGTATTAAATTGCATACTATATCAAAAAATAAGCTGAGATAGAATTATCTTAATACAGGGTGGCAATAATAAATTCTCATTCCTTATTATATAATTTAGAACTATTAAATAATCCTTCTCATTGCCACGCATCCTGTCCCTATATTTATCATCATACTATTAATCGACCTGTCCCTAAATATATCATCTTGCAATTAATCTATTATTGTGTAATAGCAGTCGATAATGCTGTATTGTGTAATAGCAATGCTGATATGCCAATTAACTTAATTTCGATATCGATTGCAGTAATTATAACTATCAGCAAATATTTCAAATACGCTGAGTTGGTAAGTCAGAGTTGCTTGAATCACTTCAGAGTTGTTTTAGTCACAACAGATTTGCTGTAGGCTACAGCATAGTTGCTGTTGGCCTCAGCAGAGTCGCGGTATTAGTCGTTATGAAGATAATAATTAATCGTTGTAAGTGGGTTCTAATAAAGTATAGTTGAAAGTAGTCAATCAGTGTTTTTAATTAGAAGTAACAAGATATTTCAGCCAATATCTTTATAAGAGCTCAAGGCATCCGAAGCTACTTTTATTATAACCACTGCTCGGCAAAGCTGTATTGACTAGGAGGTCAATACGAACCACGCTGCCAACCAACCAGCAATACATTTCACTATATTTTTAAGAAACTCGGATTACCTGTACCCAGTGTTAATTCT